AACTTGGTTTTACAGACAGCCATTTCCAGGAACCAGAACATTGTTGCTCTACAAGGGCTGCTGCAAATAAAAATAAAGTACTGTCAGTAGCCCCACAGCTTACTTGTAGCCCATTGATCAATTCTAGTCACATTGTTCGGTAAGTTTAGATGTGTGTCCTTCCAAAATTGGTTGCAACATCTAACTTGCTTGTCAACTGATTAGGAATGGATGCCTTCTGCTACCTGTCAGTGATAGAAATTTAACTGTATGTATACTATGACTGTGGTGGCACAGTGGTTAGCACTGCTACCTTACAGCACCAGGGACCTGGGTTCAATCCCAGCCTTACGCAACTGTCTGTGTGGAGCTTGCATGTTGTCTGCATGGCTTTCCTCTGGGTGCTCTAGCTTTCTCCCACAGTCCAAAGATGTGCAGGTAAAGTGGATTGGCCATGCTAAATTGTCTGTAGTGTCTAGGGTGGGATATGCAGGGATAGTGTACTGGGTGGGATGCTCTTCAGAGGGTTGGTGTGGACTTGATGGGCTGAATTGCCTGCTTCCATACTTTAGGGGATTCTATGAATAGCTTGAAGAATCCAATTAATAGCTAGCATAGACAACAAAAGTTTTGTAACAGAACAAATGAACAAGGTTTTACTGTTTGCATAATAGCACCACAGCTAGTAACTGGAAGTTTCAGCTACATATAATTAAACATTAGTTCTAAAATCAATAGTTTGAGATTTGTCGTCAATTAGAGAAATCTGTAATTGAAAACAGTGGCCTTACTTAGAATCTCAAATGTTAACATATTAATCTTTATCCATAGTGTACTGTTTAAAAAATTAACTGCTTTCTGTGTAGATTAAAAGCTGTGGGGTTTTTTTGTGTACTTAGTTAAGAGATGTGGACATCTCTTTAAGGGCCAGCATTGATTTGCTGATCCCACATTGTCCTTGAGAAGGCGGTTGTGAACTGTCACCTTGAACCACAGCAGTCACCATGATGTAAGTACATCCACAACACTGTGAAGAAGGGGTTTCCAGGATTTTGACTCTGTGACAGCGATATAGTTCCAGGGCAGGACAGTGAATGGCTTGTGAGGAAGCTTGCAGGTAGCAATGTTCCCATGCATCTCTGGCCATTGTGCTTCTTTGATCAAAGACACACTGCTTGATTGACACACTGAAATTTGGGTGGGGGAGGAGGCAGTCAGCTGAGAACATTTACCCCCACCCTTGGTGCAGGCTGCCCTGCTCACGTGATTGGCCAGTGGCCTTCGATGGGCATGACCGTCCCCTGGGTCTTGATTCCAGGGGAAAACCCATCGGTGACATTCTCACTGCTGAATTGGCATTCCCAAAATAGGGCAGTGTAGGTCTCCCACTTGCTCCCCAGATGGTAGGTGAGACCCCCGATGCCTCAACAAGATTCTGCCTATTAATTCTGATTTTCTTCACACAGGCTGCCTGAGCTGCTATGTATTTCCAATGATTTTTTAAAAAAAATTCACCTCTTAAGTCCATGTTGAACGAGGTTGTAATGAGTGACACCGTCAAAATGCAAAGCTGTGAGCAGGTATATGCGCTGTTTGACAGCACTGCCAGCAACACAACTTCGCTGATGATGGAGATTGATGGAACAGTCATGGATTGGATTAGATTTATCCGCTTTGTGTGCATAGGACAATTTTTCAGATCATCGGGTAGATGCCAGTACAACAGTTGTACTAGAGCCTATTAAGGGTTGATTCTTGAGCATATCTTCAGCACTGCAGCTGGGATGTTGTCTGTTTCCTTTGTTGTATTCAATGCATTTTATTTCAAATATTTGTGTACACAAAGATTGCACATCTTCCTGTACTTCTTATCAAATGTAGTTTCAGCAATAAAATGCAGGCATGCCTTATTTGGTATGGGTGTTGCCCTGTTGGTCGGCTGTATAATGAGATTTGTAAAGCTCTTCAGGTCTAACCAGATATTTTGTCATCTCCACCCAAGGGTTTTTCACCCAAGGGTTATGTGGGAGTGGAATAGCCTAATGCAAAAACTAAATTCTAGTACGTCAATTTTAATCTCAAGAATTTAAGGAACTCTTTCAAGCAGTTAATTGTTTTTCCTTTGTCAGCTTGTGTTTAAAATTGTTTAATCATTTCAAAAGTAGAGTTAATGCAGATAGAATGTTACTTATTTGTACTGAGTTAATGGTATCCTATGGCCTATATAAATTAGTTAAAACATTTGTCTTAATGTTGCCTTAAAAATTTTAATGGCCAAAGGGTACATCACTGTTAGCAGGAACTGCAGATACTGGAGAATCTGAGATAATAAGGTGTAGAGCTGGATGAACACAGCAGGCCAAGCAGCATCAGAGGAGCAGGAAGGCTGACGTTTCGGGCCTAGA